TCGAGCTCTCTAGAACAGAAATAGAACGATATCTTCCAGCATCCGAGATCCCACCGAGTCCAAGACGAACACATCAAAGAAAACTACATTCATCAATTCGTAGAGTAAGTACAACAACAAAGGACAACCGCATCCGATCCTACAAATACAGTGTCCATAAAGGAAAAGTATGCAAGTAGAGGAGAGGAGACGACAAGAGGGGGGGAAAGAAACATGACAGGTCATTAAATGACGTACAGGGTATGTACAAGTACATATCATAGAACGAAGAGAGGGCGTGAAGATCATGCAATATTTCGTTTTAAGTCCGTTTCGTCACACGAGGATTCGGAGGCTCAACCAATTCATCATACGATGTTAAACCTAAGTCACAGACACCTCATCAGCCAACGCCGCCGACGAACCAAAAAAGAAAAAACTCACGCCTCAGACTTCCAATCCTCGCCCTTCGCCGCCAGCTCCTCCTTCTCCGCCGTCCGGTTGACCCACCCCGCAGGGTGGCCTTCATGCGACAAGAGCGAGTTGCGCTTGTTCGAGACGACCTTGAACTGCGAATGCGACGCCGTAGTCGACGCGGGCGACTTCGTCGACGACGCATCGTCCTTCTTGCGCTTGAACAGCTAAGAAAAGGTAAAACACATCATGAGCACCGCACCAAGATATACAAATCTTAGGTGGAACACTCACCTCCTGCATCGCCTGCACCCTCCCCTCCCCATCCTCCGCCTTCGCGCTCTCCATCCGGTCCCTCACAGCAACAAGCTGCCCATCGACGTACTCCAACCCCGTCTCCAGCGCATCCGCGACGGCCTTCTGGATCTGCTTCTTGATAAGGGAACGGGCGAGCGGCTGCAGCGTCTTGTACAAAAAGTCATGCTTCGAATCGCGGATGCTGAACTTGAGTCCGTCGACTTTGACGTGCACATGCTCCACTTTGAACACGGACGACTTGTCCTTGCCCGCCGAGACGAGCGTCACCGTCGCCTGCCATCACAAACCGCATCAGCACATCCCCAAGAACGAAAAAGAAGGAGAGGAACAAAGAGAGGAAGAACAAAACATACCGTCAACCCCTCACCCCCAAGCACAACATCCGCCAGCCCCGAATCCTTCATCTTCGGCACCCCCGTCTTCTTCTTATAATAAAACGCCACATCCCGCATATCCGCCTGGATCTGCGCAAACGTCAGCGTGAAGCGGTGGTGCGCCTCATCCTTGATCGCGTTGTACGGCGAGAACTTGACAAAGTTGTGCGCCTCGAGCGACACTTGGTTCGGGAAGAGGTTGCGCCCGGACAGCGTGAGGTTCTCGACGACGAGGTCGAGCCCGTCGTCGGTGTACTCGACGCGCGGGATGGGGATGTAGCCGACCTGGTGGGGTTTAGGCGTGAGTCCAAGGGCAGGGAGACGAGGAAGAGAAGAAACGAACCTTGTCGACGAGCTGCGGCAAAATGACCTTGCGGATGTCATTCCAAAGATCACTCTTGAACTTCAAGCTTCCCTCGCTATCGAACAACAGGTCCTTCGTGAGCCTCGCCCAGTCCTCCCCGAAGCGCCGGTTGATCTACGATTCAAGTAGTCAGGTTACCTGCACCACAAAGGAAGAAGGGTGAGTACGCACCGGATCCTCGCCCATCGCCTTGAACCAATCCCCAGTACTATTGAACAGGCGATCAAAGTGCTCCTTGTACTTCCCATCATAGAACTGGCGACCATCATCTCGGAGCCTCCTCGCCTGAGCATTGCAGTCGGGCTCCAGAACATATCCAGGCTCCAAGAGGACCTAAGATAACATGACGTTCAACATCGTAAAAACATAGGACAGACGGAGCGGCCGCGCACCTTGTGAATATACGTGTTAACCTCCTCGAACCACTTCCGGAGCTCCGCATCCCGAGACGCATCATCACGCAGGGCCTCAAAACTGTCAAGAATAGGATCCATGCTCTTCCCGTTTGCGAAGCGCTCCAGCAGTGTGCGGATCTCGTTGATGGCCTGCTGGAGTGTCCGTTCCTGTTAATCAAGCATATCAGCATTGGGATGGGATGATAGAGGGAGGAAAATCGAACCTCGCTGACCCCGCGTACACCCTCCTTATGCGCTTCGACGGCGCCGCGACCGTGTGCGGCGTACTCCTCGGCGTAATTGAGCAGCCAGCGGATCGCCTCCTGGTAGTCGTCGTGCTTCTGGCATTCGATGATGACCTATTCGCAAAAGTTGGGGTCAGTATATGCCATCTTCTAGACATAGAGTATGGAAAGTGGAACAAAGGAGTGCAGCGCAGCAGCGGCTCCGCCTCACGTAGACGGCCTAGAATACGGCTAGTGAAAGGAAAAGGAAGGCAACGGACCTTCTTGCCGCGGTAGATGAACTGATCTCTTCGCTCAGGCGGGAAGTATTCCTCGGTCAAGAACTTCTTCCCTCGGTCAATACGATCCTTATGCTCCTGCGGTACCTTATCGGTCACGTTATCCTAGTAAATGAGCCCGTTAGCTTCGTCTGCGACCCTCAAAGGGAAATGAAGGACACGTACCCTGAGTCCCTTAATCCTACCAAAGAACCCTCCCTTCTTCCTCTCCACCTCCACGTCGGCATCAGGATCCTCCGCAGCCCTGCGCTCGCGCTCCTTCGCCTCCTGCTCGCCCCTCTGCTCCGCAGTCTCCTTCGCATCACGAGCATGCTCCGCCGGACGATCAACCTTCTGATCACCCGCAACCCCCCTCGCCGTCGTCTCAAGCCTCGACGAATCAGTATTATCCAGCCCCGACCTCACAGCCTCCTCCCCAAACGCCTTCGCTTCATTCGGCCTCAAATCCTTCTGCTGCTCCTCGTCCGTTCGCCCCGCCACATCCCCACTCACACCTCCCTTCGCCTTCTCCTTCTCCTCTCCAACCATATCGCGTACCTCTCCGACGCTGCGCTCCTTCCCGTCAGCGCCGACGATACGCGCATCCGAGTCCTGCTTCGGATGGTGCTTGATTTTGGCCTCGGTGCCGGGCACACGCGCCTCGAGGACGGGCGTTTCGTTGGGGCCTGCGCGGCGCCCGCCTTCGGTGATGAACTCGTCCTGGGGCCCGCTGGCGTCGACGTTGGCCATGGCCTCTTGGGGCGGGGCGGCGAGTTCGGCGGCTTTGGAGAGGCCGGTGGAGAGCAGGTCGCGGCCGATGAGGGAGAAGTCGGACAAGAGCTTGCGGACTTCGGAGTTGGTGAGGATGAGGGAGAGAAGGGTGCGCAGGTGTTGCACAGCTGTTGGGGGAAGAGGTTAGTTGGGGGGAGAGGGCGGGTATATGCGCGATGAGGTTACCTTGTCGTGAGTCTTCGCTCATTTTTTCTTGGTCAACGGGGACACCTTCTTTTCCGGGTACACCCCCGAGGATGGCCTGGTGGTCGATGGCGCGGGTGTGCCAGATGAATTGCTGGAAGAGCTCGTCGCCGTTCTTCTCTCGGACCATGAGACGCGCGGTCTCCACGATATCCTTGGTATCTTGCACGAGCTTCTTGCCGTCCGGTGACAGCTTGTCGACGTCGATGGGGGAGTGCTCGAGCACATATCGGAGTGCCTTGTCGATCTGCTCGTTGGTGGGCATACGGCCCAGGCGGAAAGCTTCGATCATGCCATAGAGGCGGAGCTAGACAGCCGTTAGTGGGGCTGAAACATGGAACACAAGTAAAACACGTACTTTGCGGTCGACGTCGGCGTCCTTGGCCTTCTTGTTGACGGGGTCGGCGACGGAGTCCTTGGCGGGGTGGGTGCTGGTATCTTTTCGGGCGGCCGGTAGAGACATGATTATGGGGGGACCGTCTCACGGAGTCGAGCATTATATAGGCTGGACGCGGGGCGATGATGATTTGGCGACGTCATCCTTGGTTTTGCAAGACCTGTTGGAGAGCAGAGCAGGGAAAGTCCTGAGCTATTTTGAGACCTGCCATTTTAGGAAGAGCCAATTCGCACGTTCCCGAGGGTCCGTGCGCTTCGACTACAAGCACCATCGCCGTTCTCACTGGATGGCACTATTTCTCCCCTGGAATATCCTCGACTCTGTGTAAGCTGCTCTTTGTGTAAGACACTCCGAGTCCTTGGCGCGCCCGATTGGATACCGATGATGTCAAGTTGAATCAATTGTATAGTGACTCCACTGCCTGCCTTTTGCAATTCATGCTTGCTCCTACTCCTTTGTTCGCGATCGAACAGTTCAACGCAGTCGAAAGCTTACAACTGGCGTACATCTTGCATCATGAATCGCTCCGATTACTGTCCTGGCATGGCCTAGTTTCCATCGATCAGGTCGTTCTTTTCGTTGCGGGGACCTTCCGACACGCGATAGCCTAGTTGGGCGTCTGGTTACTCTCCACTCGTAATAGACTCAGAGCCCCCTGCGATCCCTTATCAACGTCATCGCACCTTAGAAGCCCTTGTGCCCAATGGTACGGTAACCCTTATCGTCGTGCCTCATTTCATTTTACGTCCTTCTCTATGACCTTTCTTCGACATTCCAAGGCAAGTGAATACCAGTATGTGCGATATGAGGGCTCTCTGCTAGATCCCGGTGTACTTTAATTTCTCAATCCGATTTTCTTCCTCAGGTCGAGTGGCGCATCTAAAGATCTACATGTCCCTCAGTCGTTATTCGCTCCTTCTCCATGCCTTGTCGCTCTATCATCTCTCAATGCCGCGTATTATTCCTGTACACCCTTGATTCCTGAACAACGGTCCAAATTTCAGTCGTGCTTTCTATAGTGGCAAGACATATCCTTCGCGATATCGGTCTTCGAAGTTGTAGGAGTACCATGCAAAAGGGCCTTGGAAAGAAAGCCAACCGCGATCATAACCCCCACCAGCGATACAGAAGAGAAGGTTCCCGTCCGACTCCAACTACTACAGTCACCGTCTCGAGCAGATCAGTCATGAGCTTACATTACGAAGTGCGCGCATATTGCCTACCTACCAGCAGAACTTAAGGTTCGCAAAAATAAAAAGTTTAGGATTCCTGGATTCACGTACTCCCTGTCTGGGAGTCGAACCCAGCTCTCGCGCGTGAAGGCAATATTTGCGTTATGACAGGCGCGTGTACTGAACCGATATACTAACAAGGAGTGATTGGCCGCTGAGGCTTCAGGGACTTCCCCGACGGACGCCGCGCAGAGCTCACCACGTCCTGGCAGTAGTTATTCGCCCTTCCTCCATGCCTAGTCGCTCTATAATATATAAATGCCACTAATTTCCCCTCTACACCGTCGTGATATCGGTCTTTGAGGTTCGACGGGATCTCCAGTCACAATTGACAGCGACGGGAAGAGTTGACGATCGCCAGCGATTCAGCAGAGAGGGTTCCCCCTCGATCTTAACTACAGTCGCCGTCTCGAGCAGATGAGTCATGAGAGGTCATGAGCTTACAGTACTCGAGTGACGAGTCGGAATACAAAGAATTTAGTGAAGTAGAGCATCTCAATCCTTCCGCAGATAGTATGTAGCTGACGAAGGGTATGAAGATGACTTCTCATCAAGTTTCCATTTTTTGATGTTGACAGATTGGCGCGTGGTTCGAGTTCTCTGTGATATCATGATGATTAAACCTTAGCTTTCGATCACTCCTTGTTAGTATATCGGTTCAGTACACGCGCTTGTCATTTTGTGGTATTCCACCTGGTGTCTTACGCGCGAGAGCTGGGTTCGACTCCCAGACAGGGAGTGTATGAATTACGAACATGGCTAAACTTTTTATATTTGCGAACCTCCTGCCGGTAGGTAAAGTGGGAGAGATGGAGACCGTGTTTGTTTAAGGGCCTTTTCATATCCTGGCTCGCGGTTCATGTGGCAGAAGATATTCGGTCTCGTAGTATCACGATGGCCGGTTAAGAATCCTAGATCCAGATATATGAGCCCTGCAATCCTTGACCAGAATCCATGCGCATTTTATCATCTTTCGGCGGTTTGGACAACAGGCATCGCGACGATTTCAGGTATAACCTTAGTTTCATTCCTCATATCAGCGATCGGCGAATACGAATAATATAAGAGCATGTATCGGCATGGCAACTTGGCCGAGTGGTCTAAGGCGCTGGAATTAGGTTACTTCGAAACCATCCAGTCCTCCGGGGCGTGAGTTCGAACCTCACAGTTGTCACTGTATATCATCCTCCTATGATTCGCTTTTGTGACTTTTTCTCATCCATGACATCGTTATATGTAGGCCGTACCTACGCGCAGTTCGTCCCATAGCTTTTAGTTTTCAAATACTACATGGCCGAAGGACAATCCGGTCAGAGAAAGCCCCTTGACATATATTGTGCGTATGTCGAGACTGAACAAGACCGGGTAGAAATAGCGCGGGGAAGATCCAGTGCTCATAAGCAAAGTGCAGCCAAGTAGCTCAATTATCTTCTACGCATTATGCATACGCGCTTAACCTCGAGTAACATCCTCCACTCTCCAGAACTAATGCTCGACCTTTTACCTTGACGATAGTAGCAAGCCATCTTATCCAACACACGAGCATTTGTGTTACGCTGAAATGGTAAATAGGGTTGTCTACGCGCCTATTGGCCATTTGCGTCACCATCGCGGGTCCTCGCGCCTAATGCAACCAGTTTCAATGCGTGGTCAGTATTCCTAAGTGACGCATGCACGACGGGCAAGGTCTTCAGGCTGTACATCGAATAATGATGTAGTGCGTGGAAGTAGCAGCATGCAAGTGTGAGGTAAGTGGTCGTGATAAGACACCCGAGCGTGGGTATGATCCGTGTCGAGTATACCGAGGAGGTCGTGATAAATGCGGACAGGAGGAACCTGTATGGGTGTGAGCCAGATCGTAGAGCCAGCCAGGTGTCCGAGGCAACGTACATTGTCGAGCGACTCCAGCTCCAAAACTAAAGCTAATTCGTAACATATAACCCACATTCAGATACAGGCTACGGATCCATCTTTGGGAGGCATCGTGGCGAGAGAAATCCGCGGAGTTGGGAATTACGAGGCAGGCAGCAAGCGTTGAACCTTGATGAGCAACTCGACGACCATTAATTATGGATACTGGTCCGGACGACCGTCAGGTAGGCATTGGAGGTAATCGCGAAATGAACTCACCTACTGAACAGATACAACAGGGTTGATCCTTTCCTTACCGGAGGCGGTGTTGCATCATCCTCCCACCGCAACAAAACACAGCCACTTATACACAGCCACGAATGACACTTCTTCTCAGCTCCTCGACAGACGCAGCTTCTCCACGGACAGCTACATAACCGGACGACAGCAAGAGAGCTGCGCAGGTTCTTCACTCGCCGTTGATGACAGCGTGGAAGAAGTAGCATCCCAATCCCGGTATGAGGACACGCTGCGGGTGTCGATACGGTACCGCCTCGAGATCTTGAGTTCCGGTCGGCATAAGAACATCGTCAATGAACTTAGCAACCACCAAGGTATAAAGCCTTCCTTCTCCTCGTCTATCCTCCCCAAGAATCTCCGGTTCTTACCTCCCTCCTCCTCCTCCCTTCCTCTAGTCGCCTTCCCCTAATATCCTCATCCTCCCGCCCCCACTCCACACACCATGACGGAATACGACTTCTCCCCCGAAGCCTATCAGGCCCATCTCGCCAACATGCACAGCATCTCGAAATGGGTCGATCGCACAGAAGCCAACCGCCAAGAGTTCACGAACGCAGCAGCGCTCGTCGATGACCGTCATACACCACGTAGGCGCAGCGACAGCTTCAGCGAACGACGCCGTCCACCACCTCTGCCTCTCCCTCCCCACGGAGCTCCACCATACGGCCCTGACCACGGATACGGAATGGGCATGGGCATGGGCATGAGCCCCTACCCCTCCCCGCCCCACTCCTCCGACTCGTTCGACATGGGCTTCTCATACGCCAACAGCCCGGGATCCCCAGGGCCCATGCCCCCGCACATGCACACGCACATGCACACGCACATGCACCCAGGCCCCTCCCCGCACCACCCCATGTTCGGCCCAACGATGATGTCCCCGCCGCCCAGTCCACCACACCACCAACACAGACATTCTTCACACTCCCACTCCCGACGCAGTCGATCATCCTCCTTCAGCTTCGTCCCGCCGCCTGGACCCACCGGCTTCTTCCCGTACATGGGGATGGGTGGCCCGCCGGGGTATGGACCGGGTCCGGGATACGTGATGATGCCCCCGGCACCGTCGAGGCATAGGAGGAAGCATCGGAGTGGTGGGCCGTCGGTGTCCTATGTGGTAAGTCATCGTCGTCAATGGTGGTATCGTGCGGTACATTGATGGCGTTCCTCAGTATGTGTAGACGGGCGTTCAATCGAATTCTGGAACGGTATACAGGCTGGATGCTGACTCATTGAGTCTCGCTCGCGTCGGCTCTTCCTCTCAGTCCTGGTCGCCATGCAAACCGGAGTCGTTCGCGCCATGGCAGAATGCCTGACGTACTCCAAATCGCGCAATCTGAGCCCCACGGGCAACGCCTCCGGCCATCATTTACTTTGGCAGGCAGGAGAGAGACAAGATGGGAGGACTCTTGGACTTCAACCGACCCTTTTCATCGTAGCATAGGAAGTTTCCCTATCGTTTACTTTGGCAGGCAGCGCATGCCCAGCGACAGACAAGATGGGAGAACTCTTGGACTTCATCAGACCCTCTACTGTACGTTATAGCATAGGAAGTTGCCTTACTTTCGCTAGTACCTACTTTGAGCATTTATACAACGAGGAGACGCTTGTTGGTCTCGCGCTCTACGTACCCAATGCGATGTTGAACTTGGCATTCTTCGAACCATTGTTTGTCAGGCTAGACGTTTTTAAATGCTAAGGCCTATACTTATAGCTACCTTCGGCCCATTCATCTTGCTTCTTGAAAATAGGGATGATGACCAAATTTGCAGTTCGATCATTAATGCACACTCGAGATGACCGACTAAGGTTGCTGAGATCGGCATTTCTTTGATGTTATGTATGTCATGATTCCGGGGGCCATCTCCGCCAACTCTACTTTGAAACGAACGCTCACGTCTGTTCAGCCACTAATCGATTCAGTGCAGCTTTCTTGCTCAGCTTATTTCTTGACAGGACTGTGCTATGTAATCCGTACCAACCTATCTACGGACTATAATCCGAGTCCTCGCCCGCCGAGAAGCCCCCACTGGGGCGATGATCATAAGACTGTCATCGCTGAAAAAATGTCTAAACTCGTTCGTCTTTGGGCTAGCCATCCCAAGGTGGATGTCACGGAATCGTAACCGAAGATGATAGTACCGTCAAAATGCACGCAAGGCTGCGTTGCGAGTAATTGCAATCGTACTGCTGCGACATCCGAGTCGTGAAGTGGGTGGATTCTGTGGACTCATCTCATCAGAGTCATCTCATCCAACCCTGGTCCTTGACCACCCCTGCACGGAACTGTCACTCTGGAATATTCCCCCCTCGAACTGATCTATGAGCGGCATCCAACCCTAGGCCTTGTCATGCACCGGTTTTGTTTGATAATCTTCAACCGTTGGCGGGGTAAGGCAAAGTAGGAAGATTCCAGCGCCACGGTAACCCTAGAGAAGTGCAATCTTTAGTTTCTTAGAAGACGGACTCCTTGCACTGGTTTGTTTTGATCGGCTTCGACCGTTGGCGGGGTACAAGCGGGGCACAAGCGGGGTAAGGCAAAGTAAGAAGATATCGACGCCACGGTTTCCCTGGAGAAGTGAGATCCTTGTTATCCCAGGCAGGGCTCAAGGTTTCAGCGACCCTCCTACCACCCTTTTATACTTTCCTTCCCGCCCGTACAACCCGGCGACTTTTTTCTTGCTGTTTCGTGATGGTGGCTGAAGCGCTGATGGTGGCACCAAGAATAGACGCATATTCGGCCCGGTGTCTTTTTGGCATGGAATCTCGTGACTACGCGGCCCTGTTCGCCGCCATGTGCTCGTCGAAACAACCGACCCCAATCAAGAGCCAACTCCCGATCCCAACCATTCTAGGACAGAACACTGTTCATTATCATGACGCAGCGATCCTAGAACGGACCCATCCAAAACTTTGCAAGGCTTTCTCCGGAGCCGCCGAAGGTATACGATGGTCGAAACAATCAACATAGAACATCTTTCCAGACCATGAACTTGCCCATGGGGTATGGATCGCTGATCGAAGTCTCATCTGAATTTCGAATTGGGTATCATCAAAGGCGCTTCCGATGGGAAGATTCGGAGGTAACCCTCTTACATCTCACGTTGATCAGCTACTTATCGCCCCGGGAGGCCCCAAGCTGCTCCAAGCTGCACCCTGCAACGTCAGGTCTAGATATTCGTGGGCAGGAACTGTCAACATGCATAGCTTCTAGCTCTCGATACCCGATTCTTGATCACCGATTCTTGATTAGTTTGAATCGTTGCTACGTTGAAGAATGAATAGGACCCTGGATGGCTCTCCTTCGCGTGCTGAACTAAGTACAACAGCAACTTCAGCAAGATCACTGCGCATTGGTCGCGATCGAGGGGCCCCTATGAAACGATCAATTTATGTGGCCCGTAAGGTACGTTTTCTCCTTCTATCATGGAGCGCTCATGAGTCTAGCGTCTGACAAATTTGCTTAAATACTCTGCTCGTGTCGTCTAGGATCTGTATTCCAACCGCACTCACCACATTCAACCCTACCCCGCTCACAACACCCAACCAGCATCATGAGGTTCTTTTCGTTGGTCTCTCTCATCTCTA